GTGTGTGTGTGTGTCACCCCCTGTACCAAAGGGTTTGATACCACAGTTCCCACTACAACCACCCCACAAGGCAGGGGGGCCAGGCCTGTCACATCCAACCTGGCCCAACGAAGCTGGGATGTGACAGGGGAAGCACCAGAGGACGCTTTGGTGTGTACCTGCCACAACTTTTGCACAAGCTGTCCAATCTCCTTTTTTGTTTCCATGGTGGTTCATGATACTTCCCCCAAACCTACTCTTCCCCAGCAGCTGCGCCGCCGGTTTGATCGTCTTGCCGCCGCTTTGAACGTATGAGTGCTTGCGCGAACAATGTTCAACCATACTGTTGTCGCCGACTCACTCACCTTGCGTTTCTCTCACCTTCCTTCTCAGCGTGGGAACTGAGTGTAACTGAAAACCAATGTCAGAGTGTATAGATAGATATATATATATATATACATATATATCTTTTGTCACCAAAATGCCGAACGACACCTGTCCCTCTTCGAAACGACCATGGACCATGGCTACTCGCTACTCCCACCATGCAGGTGTAGATGATTCACCGATGCCCCAGCGCCGATGGTGTTGAAGGAGAGCCAAAGCCGCTTCGATCCCCTGAGCCCAAAGGCCAGGCCCAGCATCAGCGCCTCCTAAGCGACGATTCCGCCAGACGACCCATGGTCCCACCAAACCCAAACCAGGCACGGCTTTGATAGCCGAATTTGAAAAGAGCAATGTAGTATAATTAGGTTTTTTAGATCTTCCCAAAAGTAAACATTGTGCATGTCTCACCATAGTTGCTTTTGCAACGTGTACGTCTGTTCAACCGTGTTTTGGAGTGCCAAGTAAGTACCCTGTATATTCAGGCCATTCGATTGGTTGTTGTGGTTTCCTTGTATCGTCTATCAGTCTATCTTGCTCCCAGAAATCCCCGGCCCAGCATCCAAGGTCAGGACTTGTGGCTGCTCGCCACGGGGCACCAGCAAAAAGTGGTTTCGACAAATGGGATGCCTCAGCAAAGAACTGGACACAAGGCACTTGGGAAAGCCAAAAAAGATGCCTAGAATATGCCTCTACTTTTCCTTGGTAGAAAGTGTGGGAGCTTAGGAGTTGAAGCCTGTGAAACATTTTGGGACATAAACTGAATGTTTGCCATCGGATGCACCATGGAGCCACGAGGTAGAATGAGGTCCCTTCAACAGCCCAAAACGTCCGTGGAATTCCGTGCCCGCTCAAGCCCCCCATCGATGAATTAGTCCCCAACTGAAGGACAACCGTGGTCAAACAGCCGAGACTCTTGTTGACGATGACCATTGCTTGCTCCTCCTCGCACCTGTCTCCAGTCGACAGGTCTGCGTACTTCGGCCAGTGACAGGTGTTGGACCTCTGGTCAAAAAGGCACTGACGGAGAGTTCAAAGGAAAACCATCATTTCAGCAAACCCAAGCATTCTCAACTTTTGTGCCAAACCCAGACCCAAAATTGCAGCCACGCGAATTGTCCAAGAACAGGATCTATGTTCTTTCATGTTCCGTTTGAACTCTTGACACACTTGCCAATGGATTTCGATGGATTCTCTTCCAAGCATGTGAAATTCGAACGGCAAAACTCCAGCTTTCACTCACTGTCAGAAGTTTCTCTTTTTTCCAAGCATCGTCTCTGTATGATGACATGCCGTTTGTCGCCAGGGATTGAAGCAAAGAAGCACCTCCGCGCTAGCCACCTCGGAATCACAACAAAGCACCCCAAAGCAGAAGGTATCCAGCAGTCTTTGGGACATATCTAGCACGCGCTGACAAAAATGCGTCCTGATGCCATGCGTGACAGCCAATCGGCTGTTGACCGACCGTCAGAGGGATGATGGGCTCCCAATGCTCTGGTACTTCCCTCACGGTTTCAGACTGTTTATCTCATGTCCATCATGAGAGAACTTCGCAAAACTTTTGTTGACAAATTCCAAAAACTTTCTTTATGGGAACGTGCTTCCATCAACAGTGGCATCTTGATAAAACTCAATATATATATATATACGCATGCATGTATGTACGTGTGTGCACTTGGACCCCAGAGCGTTCCAACTGTGGAGACACACAAATGCAGGCGGCCGAGAGTCTTCAAAGGGACCACATATTATCATGAATCATGTATGTATATATATATACATATACTATGTGTGTGTACGTACTGTACTATGGACCTGCCCGTCGTCAGATAAATTTTATCCACACACCGATCCTAGAACAATCAGTACTTCAGTGTGAAGTGACAAAACGTGCCTCTAGACTCTAGCCGGTAGAAAACTCAGACAAAAAGGAAGTCTGGGTGGGATCTTCGTGAACAAGCAGAGCCCTACACTAATGGAAAAAGTCAACTACGAAGAGCGAAGGACTCCGGGAAGCCATCTAATCTAAGAGCCCCACCTTTCCAAAGTGAAATCTCTGGTCATCAAATGGCAATCGTGTGGAGTTGATCGTGGCATTCAATGACCTATCAGGACAAGCAAAAAACTCAAGTTGCCACAGGGGGGCACCAAGTTTAGGGGGTAACCTTCCGAGAAGTGTCCGAAGCAGGGCCACAAAAAATCAAAACTGCGTTACCTACGGCGGACTTCAAAAAACACTATTTTTTTCAGCACGGAATGGACTAGTGAAAAAAAACCCTGTGCTTTTTGACTTTTGGTCTTCGATTTTTCGGCTTTGAGACGCATATTTTGTCCATGTGTCTTGTCAGGAGGCCGCGGGGCCAGATTTTATGATTTCGGAGCTGTTTGGGTGACGGTTTTCGCCGAAACATTGGTTTTTGCAGTGTTTTTGTACATTGCCGAGGCTTGAGCTCTTTGCGCAAAAATGTAAAAAACCTCGCAAATAGCAGTGTTTTTGGCGACCATGTTGTTGAACACGTCGCAAATTGCGGTGTTTTTTGACAGCAGGTTTAAAAAAACACTGACTGTAAATAGCGGTGCTTTGGGCCACGGCAAGCTCCAAAACATCGCTATTTGCAGTGGCTTCTGCCTCACAGAGCATAAAAACACTGTAAAATACGTGCGGGCGGACGTTGCCGCGGAGCGGCGTGAATAAATTTCAAACCCTGACTCGCACAGCATGGTGTCTTTAAGGCGCTGTACTGTGGCCACACAATTGAACTGCGGATGTCTTCTGTGTCAACACCAGATTGGGGAAGCCACAAAGCTTCGGTCTTCGCTGTGAGAACACAGCCATGGTGTATGCGCTAGCGTAGTTTACACTCGCCAATGGCAAGGCTCTGGCACGTACCACTGGTGCAGGGAGAACTTCCAGCACCAAACCAAGCCAACCACCACATGGGCATAGCGTATCCCAAAACATGCACCCAGCATGGGCACAACATATTTCCCCCAACCCAAAGCACGCTGTGAGGTGGCAGTGGGCTTTTGCCTGCGCTCAAGCAGTTCAGCCTGAGTCTTCAGCCCCAGGATGATGGAATGCGTTTCTGCTTCTTCACGCCTTCCCTTCCAGATGTATTCCATGGGCGTTGAGACTCGGCAACCAAATCCAAGATACCCCCGCAAGGTAAGCCTTGCCAGCTTCTCGCTTGGTGTTTGGCGACTTGCCCTCGTTCTTCCACATTTTCTGGCTCACTGCTGCCCAAAAGCTAAAGTCTAGCGGGTTGAGGTCTGGGGTCACAAAAGGTAATGTTACCTTGGAATAGCCTTTTCCCCGTCTAATTTCTACTCCCACGCAAGGTATGCTACATTGGAACGGCACCTTCCTCCTCTAAAAATACTTTTTAAGCTCGGGCAGACACAAAAGGTATGCTACATTGGAATGGCCCCTTCCTCTTCCAAATTTTAGCCTCGGGTGACGCCCTTCTAAATTGTCTCTCGGATGGCTCACAACGGGTATGCTAGATGTTTCTTTGGGGGTGGACCAAAGGACTGGGGGACCAAAGGACCAGGGGACCAAGGGACCAGCAGATTAGGCAATGTGTTGTGTGCTTTTTTGAGTAATCAGTAGCTAATTTGTTTGATCCCTATGCCTGCTAACATTGAGTTTTAGGGGTGGCAGGGGTCAAAGTGGTTTGAAGGGATTGAATATGTTGTCCATCTACGGTAGTTGGCCATTATGATCAGTGCGCACCGAAACAAATGCAGGAGCATTGAGCTCATGATGAGCTCATGACCTGGTCGGGATAGGGATCTTGCATCCAGGTTGCTGATCCTCCGCCACTCCCGCCAATCCATCAAATCAAGAAAACTACACTGAAAAGGATGCCTCAGCAAGTTTATGGTTGGCTTTTTCCCTGCCAAAGGAAGAGAAGGACAAAGTGCTTCTTGGAAATTTTTGAATGTATTCTGTAAAGTCGGTCTATGCCGGTAGACACCTGTTCCAGGATCCCGGTCACCTCCCGTGTGGACCACTCCATCAACACATGGGGCCTTTTTTGGCCACGATTGGGCGCCAGCTGAACTACCATAGCCGTCGGCCCCTCGAGAACCTCCAGCGCTGGCAGCTCCGACTCCGTCCACTGAAGGACACCTGCAGCAGTTGAGTCTTTCACTGAAACAGACTTCAAATATATATATATATATATATCTTCAAATGACCTTGAATTTGGAATGTCAACAGTTTGATCAACCAATCGCTGCCTTCGCTGCGTTTTTGCTCCCAAGCTTGGCAAAGCTGCTGGTGCAGGTAGCCCTCGCGGCAACAAAGACAGCAAGAACTAAAAGTAGGGATTTGGAAGGACTTGAAGTCGCAGCTATACCCCAGCAAATGAATTCAAAAGAAACAGTTTCTCGAATCACTGACTCAGTTTGGAGGAAGGCTTGTCATGTATATACAGATTTCTCAACGAAACATGCTGATCTGTGCGAGTCCCTGCTGTCAGAATGCCCCATGGGCTCCTTCAAATATGCTCCTTCTTGGACCAGATCTTGGTCAAAACCTCTTTGGGAGTTCCATGACAGCTATGTCACAAAAAACAAACCAAACCTGCCCAGAAATCGACCAAAACACAAAAAAATCGAAGAGAGTCTTGTCCAAGACTCCCACCTCCCCAAGGCAGGAACTCGCAGTGGCCGGCAGCAAAAGGGCCGCGGCCGGCACCCAATAAGGCAGCATTTTGTGTCACTGCAGGCGGTTCATGCTGGACCGGCGAATTTGGAACAATTGAGACTCCAAATCAAGTGGTGGTTCTGTCTGGGTTTTGACAGTGCATTTTACTTCGTGCCCTCAATCCGACCAAGATCATGGAAACACAAAGGTAGTCCCACCAGAAGTCTACCATTAAAGTCATACTTGGTACGTTACAAGTGTTTTAAAGCAAAGTGGGCTGCTGTTTCTGTGTTCCGGGTTTGTGATTTGGAGAGGGTCCAGGCAATCTTGATGTTCTGATACTTGAGTGCTAATTCCAAGCAGAATGCTCACAATTGAATCGTCCACACGATTGAAATGATCCCCATAATTTGTTTTGTGAAGAAAACTGCGCAGTCTTTCAGCTTGCGCTTTCATCTTGATTGATTGGGCAGCTCCTGCCCTTCTCAGCAAGCTGGAGCCATATATGTGTTGAGCGAGACTCTTTGACACGCAACTGCATGCAAGCATCTCTTCCTCAGGAGCGGTTTAGTGTTCAGAGATTCTATATCGATTACGCAAAGCTTTGGCTTTCGATTCTTCGACGCCTTTTGCCTAAAGGAGGTGTGACAAGGTTACATCAGCTCATGACCCCCTCGTTCAAACCAAGTCAACAAACATCGAACATGACCCCGGCCAGTCCTCCACATTCAGGCGGTATGACTGGCATTCCACTCTCGTCTTGTTCACCAGCACCCGGGCATCTGCATTGAGGCCTTGCAGGATCAATGTGTTTTCGGAGTTAATCTCCACAAACCCTGCTCATGTTTCAGACAGCTGCTCTTGCCGCAAAACGTAGTCTGTCAGGAAACTCATGGAAACTCCGTAGTTTGCACCATGTACCACTTGCCAGGAGGTGCAGCAAGTCAACCAAACTGGCGCCTGCAAAGGTCAAGGCGATGTTGTCATCCACGACCAAGATCTTTCGAATTGTCCTCTGAATGCACTAGTGACTGGTGCGGGCCGCGCTGCGGGGCTAGTTTTCAACGGACCTGAATGTCTCTGGCTACTAAATGAGACGAGGGAATGTGTTCAGCGCAAAGGTTTTTCCAAACTGTCCAAATTGCACAGAAAAAGCACTCACCCAAAGGAAGAACTCGAATTGAAGCGCTCAAATCAGCCACCCCACGACCCCGCGGAGTCTTCCCGAGTTCGACTGAGCTCGTTGAACCCGCGAGAGTCTTTTTCTTGTGGCATCTCCGGGGCACCGCGCCTAGGGTCCTGCAACTTCGGCGTGGCCCGCCGCTCCACCGCCAGAACGACACCTCACCGCCAGCCCTCCCCATATTTTCCAGTTTCCTTCTCACTCATGGAAAAAACAACTGAAATAGTTCTGTAGAAAGATGCATATTGTATACTGGATTCTTTTGTTTCTTGTGGCGTTGCAGCGTCCTTTTTCGCTTTGCGGGGTTGTGTATTCCATTCTGTAAGTGGAGCCTAACAATAAATGAAACCAGGCACAACCGCAAGAATCCCTCATCCCAGTCCCCATGCACCAACGCTTTGTGCAGAAATGAAATGAAAAAGGGTTTACAAAAGATGAAGGTTAAAGAAATAAGCTCAAGTTAAGCCCCAACAGCAAGTGAGGCAAAATTGATGTTTCAGATTCGGCCGCCCTGCCCCACCCTTGAAAGCAGAAAACTCTTTTTCCAAAGGGTTTACTGTTGGGGTTCTATCTTAGAAAGAAAAGAGCTGGCCACACTCACTGGCCGCGCCCCTGAACTCTGTGGCTGGGCTCTGTGTCCACCTCTTGTCCTCCGCCAGCGCGCGCGCTCATGTGCTATGGACAGCTTACTGGGCTCTTGTCCTCCTCTTGTCCTCTGTGCTGGGCTCTGTGGCTGGGCCTTGTCCTCTTCTTGTCCTCCTCTTGTCCTCGTCTTGGCCGCTGTGTCCGGGTCTGATCCTCCTCTTGTCCTTGTCTTGGCCGCGCCCCTGAAATCTGTGGCTGGTCTCTGTGGCCCGGCTTACTGGAGAGGTGTGGCCGAACAAATAGCGATGTCAATGCCGACAAAACTTCATTGATGAAGCAATTTGCTTTTGGGGTGAAATCGATTATTGACTAATATTGGTCTAAACGAATCGTTTTGAACCTGTTTGGGGCCTATGCTTGTGTAATTACCAAACTCGGAGGCATGTCAGCGTCAAGTGCCACTGCGCACCTTTCTCACAAGCATGTTCGGCAAATTTAGGGGCAAAGCCATTGGGGTGCTCAGATTGGCTGAACCTTTACTTGGAACCTCGGAACCCTCACTTGGAACCTTCAGAACCTTCACTCGGAACCTTTACTTTCACTTGGAACTCTTTGGACAATTGACACGGAACCTTCGCTTGGAACCTCGGAACCTTCGGAACCTTCACTCGGAACCTTTCAGACACTTGACACGGAACCTTAACCTCGGAACCTTCGGAGCCTCCACTCGGAACCTTTACTTGGAACCTCGGAACCCTCATTTGGAAACTTCGGAACCTTCACTTGGACCATTAAACTTGGAACTTTTTGAACAAGTGACACGGAACATTTGCTTGGAACCTCAGAACCTTCGGACACTTTACTTGCAACCTCGGAAACCTCACTTGGAACCTTCGGAACCTTCACTC